AAAAATTGAAACCATTTGTCAAATATGCAGGGATTAACTTCCCATTAAATACTTAGTCTTTAAACTGATGAATGTTCTGATGTGACCCAAAAAGACTGATTCATGTCAGTTAAGTTATTTTTTAATGTTACTGCAGGTCCTGAGGACAGCAATCACAAGCTCACCTTACACCTAGTGTGCCTCTGGTTTTGTGGCTCTTTCTGGAGTTGATAACATCCTTCACAAAACAATCCACAGTGGCTAGGACAGACATCAGCCCTAAGGCATCATTCAGAAAGAATTGTTTCTTTTTCCTCATGACAAAGGAAATTGAGGATTAGCCTCAGAAGACACAAGTTGAACATTGTGAATACCTGCCTCAATCTCATTTTTCAGTTTACGTGTAACCTTGTATTTGATTATACATTTTATGTGAACATGAGTCTTTTCAATTTTAAATGTATTTTTCTCTTCTCACTTCTAGACAGATGGGGGTAAGACAACTTTGCAACTTGCGAAAGATTTACCTAGAAAACCACCTTGCACTTTTTTATGTGATAAATAATTTTACTTTTTAATTTTTTACTGTACTTTTACTTGAATTATTTTGTTTCCACTGCTCTTTACCATAATCTGTGTTCAATTTTTAATTTGTCCAGGACTTGCCAGTATTTCAACTCACTTTAATCTGGGTAATTACAACTAGCAAATAGATTTCAGAACATGATAACCTTTCCCGGCCATTGGATGTTTTCTTGTTCAGTGAAACCACTGACATTAAGTGATTTAATTTATCACATTAAGGGGTTAAGTGGTTCAGAGGGATGAGAACATAGGGGATTGCACCAACTGCAATGTCACCAAAGTAAATGGGGACACTGCCTGCTGGAAACCCATAACTCTCCTGCCATGGGACATACTCACAGCACCTGTAATGGCAAGAATTTAGCAAATTCTTGCAAAATTCCAGGCAGTGTTGCAATAAAATGTGGCTGGCACAGGGAGCAAAGGCCAGGAGCAGAGGCAAATAAAGAGGTCAAATCAGAATCTGTATTTGCAGTGTTTTTAAAGTAGAATTATGGCCTGTTGTAAAATGAACAAATGTCTCAGGAACTTTGTATAAGCCACCAATCACTTATTGCACAGGTTAAACTGGGTTTTTTTCTGCACAATTGGCCAGCAGAGCTAACAAAGCTGAATCTGCAGTTCTGAGACTCACAGGAGGAAATAAAACTCCTGTCTATTAAAAGTATATGACAGTATATGGAAGATACAAAGGGTTGTTAAATAAAGGTCTATCCCACTGCATGCACCTTTATAGTGATATATTTTTAAATCTGTTTAAATTACCAGACCTGAATTTTTCTAATCCAGTCATGAAGGACTCTGGTACAGTAAAGAAATTCACTTTAAACATTGGTCACTGTAAAGATTTTCTTTCCATAGTGAATGTTTGAAAAAAAATTGAATGAGAGGAATTGTGGCTCACAAGAGAAGGAGGAAAGCCATGAATAAAATCCACAGAAGCTTTGAGGTGCCACTACAAAGGCTGCAGCCTCTGCCTCAAGAACTATGGAAGCAATCAAGGTGGTGAAAAAGTGAATCTTGCTGCCAAATATAAATGGCGGAAGTAAAATCCTGCACATGCTTCTGTGCTATTGCTATGGACTTTACCTTGCTGGGTACACAGCCTCTGGCTATGGGCTCTGCTGGGAGACCAGGTGAGGGGAGCTTCAGGGAAAGCAGGAGTGCCTGGCTTGGTTTTCCTGTCATCCTTGGTTTGTGTTTCTGCTGCTGGCAAGGCTGGTGCTGAAGGCTCTTCTGTTACCTGAGAGTTCCAAAGTGCCCTATTAAGACAACAAAGGCATTCATTCCTCTGCACAAGGGAGCTTGGTCTTAGTTGAGATCTGTCCCTTGATTCTTGTGTGTGTGTGTGAAATTCTTTCTGTACCAGAGGGTTCTGCTTCCAGAACAAACCTGGACAGGCCACAGCATGGAGAAGCTGGCAGGGTATGGCTGTTACTACAACTTCTGATCAAAAGATTTGTATAGTTGAATTATCAAATAATATCCAAATTCAATACTGTGGCACTTTTTACAGCTGTAAGAAAAAAAGAGAAAAAACCCCCAAATTAAAAGAAAGGTTTTTACCTCTTCAGTATTTCTTCTAATTTGGAACAAAGAAGCTGTTTACATCCAAATACCAAATACTTAAGTCATCCACAACAGGGAGATCTGCAATACTGTATTTTTGGATGAGAATTAGAAGCAATTATAGCACCATCCCAAGATAAAAACCAGCCGACAAGGGTGTTTCAATTCTAGTCATGGATGATAAACAGTGTGGAGGTGAAATGCAGCAGCTGCTGAGTGATAGAGATTGCTATCAGGATTAAACAGGAAGGCTGTGTTTTACAGGATCAAGAAAGATTAGCCATGTGTTGAATATGGGATTATGAAGTAATTAAATAAATGAAGACACATTTCTGACACAAATTCTACATGTAAGAAAGTAATTACTCACTTTATAGACAATGTTTCTGTAATTTATCATTCAGGTCTTTGACTGGCAAGCAGAGCAGCCTGTTTCATACTCAGTGAAGTCAACAGTACTGAGGTCACCAAAGGACTGAGCCTGGTTCACTGTGCTAACAAGTGTGTTTTACAGGGGTGAACTAACTGCTCCTATAAATATGTAATGGGTGGAACTCCTGCAAGTTTGGGGGGAAACAATGTTCTGCTGCTTTTTACCAAGCCAAGCCTAGGAATTCATGAGTTGAAGAATTGGTGAAGGAAGAATTGAGTTGGTTGGATCTCCAGTGGGATGAAGAAAGCAGTAATCAGTGCATCTGTGCACAACTGTCATGGTGCATAAAAGTCCTCCAAGTATTTAGCAGGTAATAGGGTTTGTGCCTGGTGGTACTGAAACGCAGTGGTGTCTGGAGTGAAACACGAGTCAAATGGAACTGTGTAAAGCTGAATGGCCATGGATTTCTGTAAGGTCACGGGGGAAATCTCTTAACCATCAGATTTAAAATGGTGAAAGATCTTTAATGTCTGTGCAGAAGAGACAAACTCTCTATTGTTAAAAGCCTTACAGAAAAGGCCCATACAGAGTAAACTGAACAGTACCCTGTTAATCTAAGTAAGAAGGGAGGAAGCTTGTGTTGACCCTGCCAGGTGGAAGTTACATAAACCTTATCTCCCACAGAAATGAACAGTTTATAGGATGGTCTGTGCACAACAGAGAGAGATTTGAGAGGAATATGTGCCCTGGGCCACCTTCAGCAAAACAGTACAGTCCATTGTACAAGGGAGGGCACAGCAAGGCTTTTAGGTAAGGATTTACATCCAAATCTGCAGGGCTTCAGTTTGGATTTCTTCTATTTGTTGCTTTTATTGGGTTATATTTTGCCCTCCTGCAGGCATGTACTTTTCATTAGATTCCATGTGCATCAAGGGGAGGATTCAATGTGGGGCACTTCTGTGCATGTGTTTGTTCTCTGCTGTTAAAATTAATAAAACTTCACTGTTTTTTTTAATCTCATAGGATTTTGTTGAGGTAACATCACATTTGGGAAGTGTATTTAAAATCAGATTTAGGAACAGATCTGTGTCCTGCATTCAGTGCTCAGATGCAACAGTAAAAAAATAAATAAACGTGACCCTGTTCTGTATTACTCAAGAAATGCGTACTGTGTCTGTCAGAAAATGTGGAATTAACCTTGTTGACAGTTTTTTGGAGAGAAAAGGCATTATTTACAAGACAATTTAATGAACCATATTTGAAAAATATCATGTAGAACAGTAGTCACAGCTGTATTTAAGATGACCATCGAAAGTGTATGTCCTCATTTTAGGGCATCATATGATGTATCAGGTGATGAGTTCCCTGAGGTAGGAAAGCAGCCAGCCCCTCCCTCCCACCTCCTTCACTGACAATGAACTTTCTTTTTTTATCCCTGGAGAAGGTTTCCTCCTTTCAGCCCAGTTCCCAGACCGATGCAGTTGCCTTGTATGTTCCTCCCCATTTTTAACAACAGGAGCTGTTCTCACTGCACCCTTCTGACCTCCCAGGCAGGGTCTGAGGTCATTCCCCAGTGCAAGAGCAAAACCTTTTCACAGTGTGGGACGTGGTGGCCGAGGGAGGGAGCGCCTTCCCGAACAAACCCGGGATGACCTCTGAGCTTTGGAAATGTCACTGCTCCCGTAAATTGTAAAACCATTGACTCAAGACAGTCATCCCTTCCCAGGGCTTATAAAAGCTGTGGTTTGATAGGGATTTTATGTTTTTTAGGCTGCTTTTATGTCTCTTCAGAGTGCAGTGGTAGTGAAGACTTCACTGAGGATTTCTACCAAGAGATCAACCCCACATACGATCACAGGCACCCTCTCCAGATATCCTCACAGACGTTCTCCCCAAGATTCCTTACAGATCTCATTCCCAGGATTCCTTACAGCCCTCCTCTTCAGATATCCTCACAGTCACCCTCCCCAGGTTTCACTGAATCGTTTGGATTGGAAGTGACCTCTGGAGATCACCCAGCCCAACTCCAATGCCAGGGCAGGGTCACCTGGAGCAGGTGGCACAGAACCGTGTCCAGATGGGTTTTAATGTCTCCATACAGGGGCACTGCACGTCCTCCCTGGGCAGCCCGTTCCAAGCACCCTCCACCTGAAGTTCTTCCTCATGTTCAGGTGAAACTTGCGTTTAATCTATGGCCATTGCGCCTTGTCTTGTCTCTCGGCACCACCGAAAAGAATCCACCACCCGCCTCTTGCTTTGCGGTATTTAAACGCTGCTCTCTTGTTTGTGTTTAACGCCCCCCGCACCTCACGGGCCCCGCGGCCCGGCCCGGCCCTGCGGCGGCGCTGCCCGCGCTCCGCCCCTGCGCTGCAGCGCGCCCCGCGCCCGCCAGGGGGAGCCAGGCCGCGGCCGCGCCCGCCCCGCGCGCACCCGCAACATAGACACGGCGGGCTCGGGACGCGCCACGGGCAGCGGCTCCGCGCGGGCTCCGACACACAGACAGACAGACAGAGAGACAGCAGCACTGCCACAGCACAGACACAGACACAGAGCGCAGCGGCACCGCGGCATCGCACGCAGCTCAGCGGCACCGCGCAGGGCTCGAGCGCAGCGCAGCGCGGCACCGGCAGCGGGAGGAGGACGAGCGGCGCACGGTGCTGGAGCCCGGCCGGCGGCACTGCCCGGAGGTAGGAGCTGCCTCTCCGCCCTGGCTGCCAAACTTCGCGGAGCCAGCGCTGGCTGCGCCCGCGGGGGGCTTGGCTGCGGTTCCGTACCGCCGCTTTCCCCTGGCTGCTCCCCGCCCGGCCCCAGCGGCCCGGTTTGTTTTTATTGTTGTTATTATTGTTGTTATTATTATTATTGTCACTGATGCTGTTCCCCGCCCCTCCGGGCTGGGCCGGGGGTACGGCGGGTCTCGGCGGAGCCGGCAGCTCCGCAGGCAGAAGTTGGCGAGGGCCGTGAGGGGCGAGTGGCCCCGAGTTGGGTCCCCTCAGAAGTTGGGTGCCCGAGGAGCCGGGGCTGCCCCGCTGCCCCCGCCGCTCCTCGCTCCGCTCCGCTCCTCTCGTTGCAGATGTCGGGGGTGCTGGTGATCGCTGCCTGGTGCTTCCTGCAAGTGGAGAGCCGGCATCCTGAAATCATCACGAGTAACAGCAATCATGGCAATTTCCTGGACAACGACAAATGGCTGAGCACCGTCTCGCAGTACGATAAAGACAAGTACTGGAACAAATTCCGGGATGTGAGTACTTCTCGCTTTACCGCATGTTTCTCGCTCCGTTGTTGACCGTAGCATTCTTCCAGGGGCCTGCTGGCTGCCGAGGGCTGTGGGAAGAAGAGAAATGCAGCTTGGGCAGCCGGTTGCTGCCTGTGTGAAGGATGCTCAGGGCTGTTTGGGAGCTGGACAGACAGTCGTGGCATTCTTGATTTACCCCATCGATTGGGGCAGCCTGGGCTCCGTGTCAGTCTTGCTGTTCTTATGGTCTTCGATTTTCCTCTGAGGAACTTTGAGTGAAGTTTCTTGTTCAGTGCTTACTGCTTAAGAGTCTGCTTAACTGAAAAATGATAGAATGGTGTGTGTGTAAGAAGGAATACTTACCAGTTCAAGCCACAAGGTGGTAAACAGCGAAGCTTTTTGTGCCTGCAGCTTTTGTGGAAATGATTTTATTTTCAATTCTGCCTGTAGAGATCTTTGAGGCTGGTGTAGTGTTGAAGAAAGCAGTGCTTTAGCTCTTTTTTTTCCCCTTTAGTCTGGAAAAAAAGGATATTTTCAATATGTGTTATCTGTATAGAACAAATTAATTTCTTAAGCTCAGAATTAATTCTAGACTTCCCCTAGTTTGAATACAATCATGTGTTAAGTCAATAACAGCAGAAAGGGAAATACAACTTTTTTTAATAGAAGTAATATTTAAGTAGTTCCTCTTACTTCTGCTGTCTGTACACTGAAGAAGCTTTTTTGGAGCACACAGAAAACCCTGCTTCAGTCTGCCCAAGACTGTGTGATGGAAGCTTTACTGATTGTGTTGATCATGAGCACAGAGAGGTTAAATGTTCTTTATTTTCTGAGATTTGTGCACCATGGCCACAGTGAGACTCTAGAAAAGGGAAGACTAGAGCTGGCTAGCAGTTCTGGTCGTACTCTTCTGTATGAATTTGTTTGTTTATTTAGGAATCCTGATCTTTTATAGAATATTAACAAGTCAAACTTTTATGCTCTGCTTTTGTCTCTGCGATCCTAAAATTGGATCTGATCCTAAAATTGATCTGCAAAGGGGAAGTCAAAGTATTTCAGTTAAATGTGGTGTGTCCCTGCTTAGCTTATTCTCCGTGTTTTTCTGTAGTTTTGGTCATCTCTGTGTGAGAAATGCTGCTCAGAATCTCAGCATAACAGAGTGTGGCCTTAGCAATGGTATCAATTAAAAGCTGTCTTGGAGTGTGTCTTCACTTGCAGTCACTGATCACATCTGCCTGCTGGGACTGCTGAGTTCTTGTACAGAAAAGGGCATTCCACAGTAAAAATGGATTCTTAGATTTACCAGACTTCAAGGGAATCTTTGTAAATATCTGGTTTAGTCTTCTGGGGAACAGAGGTTGAGGATTTCACTTGTTAATTTCTACATCCCACTTGATGTGAGAATTGACCAGCATTTGAAAATGGTAAATTGAATGAAATTGACACATTAATCTGACAACACTTCTAACTAGAGACAGATTTGTAGCAAGCAAGCTTTCAACAGTCTCCTTCCAAATGGTGGCCTCATGTTATTACAAGGCTTAAAGGTTTTATTTAAATTTATGTAATTTTTGTTTTCTGCTTCCCTCTTTCTTTTCTCTTTAAAACTGGAGTCCTTGCAACTTCTTTTCTTGCCCCTTTTCCGAAGACACAGTCTCACGAGTCCAGAGAAACGATTCCTCTTCTTGTGGAAAATATTCATGAATACCTCTCATATTTTAAGATTTCATGGCTAAGAATGTTTTTTAGACCTTCTGAAAATGCTAAAAAACCTCATAAGCCTCAGAACTCTTTAATGTAGGAAGAATCATTCTATAGAAAAGTAAAACCAACCTTAACCAGTGGTCTACCAAGCAAAAGCAGTAATACAAAGTTAATGCAAAGCTTAGGTATCTTTCCATCTGTCCATCTTAATGGTTCTATTGAATTACTTCAAAACTAGCATTTTACATATGATTATTCATAAAACCTTTTATGGAGCAAATTAACAGAGACTAGTAATCAACTCCTACTAAGCCTTTTCCAAAAAGAAAACATAAAAGGCTTACATATGTAATTAAGCTCTTAATTACTTGTCTTCAACCAGATTGATTTACTGGATCATAATATTCCAACAGAGGTTCTGTGCCCACAAGTGAAGACATGCATAGGTAGAGTTGCTGCCAGCATAGCAATACAACAATGACAGCACAATTCTTGCATGAAGAGATGTGGTTAGAAGAAATCTGGTTCTTACTTCATGGCTGTGCTGTTGGGGGTAGTTTTTAAAAATATTTGTTAAAACATTTCTTAAAAGGCTGCCCAATGAGATACATCATAAGAATATTACTTGCTGTAGATGGACTAGACCAGCATTTTGTGGATATGTGTTATTTCTAGGAAAATTATCTTCCCTCTTCCCCTCATTGCCAAACTAACAAACTAATTTTATAGACACCATGTCTACATGAGGTTCTCAGTGTAGGCTTTGCACAGGAGGCTGGAGTGCAGAAATGGTGTTGCTGTTAAACTTTCTTGGATCTGTCACTGCAGTCACTCCAGGGCAGAAGCCTTGTACCTCGTAAATCAGCAGAGGCAAGGTTGCAGTAATTAGCACAATTACCCTTAGCTGCTCTCTGAAATTTATGTCATGTTATATAAACATATTTGCACAAATATTTACATGAATGTGCCCTTCTGGATGGTGGGGAAAAACACTGAAGGTGTGGAGCTGAGATTTGATGCTCGAAGTTCTGAGTGGGTGTGGCCACTTTATGTGCATCAGCAGAAACATCTGCACACACAGATGTGCATATAAATCTGTCATAATGTTGCAGTACTGGGAGGGTTGTTTACCCAGATGATGTGAATTGAATATAAAATCTTAAATTAAGCATTTCTCAACATTTTCAGTTATTCTTTTCAAAATCAATTGGTTGGTCAGCCTTATTGAGCTATGGGCCAATATGGCCTAATTTGAGGAGAAACTAATGATTGTTTTTTTTTTTTTTAGTGTGATCCTTTTGGGCAAAGGCAGCATGGTAGTTGCACTTACTGTCTCAGCAGTCACTACTTTTCTGTGAAAAGAGGGCACAGAAGTACACCTCATTTGAAATCTGCATTACAGCTACAGAATCATGTTAAGTTTTTAAATGTGACTGAGTTCAATAGTGTGAAACGTGTCATCATTTTCCAAAGGCCTCAAGGGATGTGTCTACAGCAACAGTTTGCAACACAATCTTTTCATGTGATTTGAACACAATTTCTTGGTTAAGTTCTCCATTAAAAAAAAAAAAAACAGCTGTATGAGACCAGTGTGACTGATCTGTTGTGAAATATTTGCTGTTGAAAATCTTCTATATTTTACATCTTCCCAGCATCAATAACAGTGTAATGTCTGTGGGATTAATAAGTTTTCAGTGCAATCTAAACCTGTTACTACAGTCTGTCTTTCACCCCTTTTTCCTTGTCTGCCATGGACTTTGTGTGATACATGACAAAATCTTAAGTTTCATTTTACAGCTGGGGATAATAGTATTTTTCTTCCTCACAACTATATGTTTAAGGTGTAAATAAGAAAGGACAGAGCTCAGAATCTGTGGTAATATGGAATTTATTATTCACCTAATCCATATATTGAATGTGGCTTGGCACATACTTAAGTAACTGACTAGTAAGTTTCTAAAAAATAAGAAGTAAATCAATGTAATTATTACTGGAAAAAGAAAAAAGTAAGCAAGATGCACTCTCTGGGGAGGACCTCCAGCTATTTCCCTTGTGCAGATCTGAGGCTTGGAAAAGCAGACATGAGGATTATGAAAGTCAAATTAGACCTTCTGATACCGGAAACTCAAATTTGAAGGCCTCGATCTTTTGATCAAATCTGTGGAGAGGGATCCTTTGGCTTGAGAGGAGCTTCAGAATAGATTTGGTAGCTGAATGTGAATTCTTACAAGCCCTAGGATGTAAGAATATTCCCTTATTGTTATGGAATGAGCACACATGTTGTTGTAACAGGTCACACTGCAGCATCTCATTGTGCTCATAGACGCTTGGCACAGAAGGCACAGATTAAATGTCATTTTACTGTTAGATCTGTCTTTAATCAAAATTATACGAACGGACTAATTCTATTACTTCTGCTTGGAGTTATGTCTATTACATTATTAATGCTTATATATAAAAAGGTAATAAGTTCAACTAGCCATGGATTAAACTGCAAAAAGGAAGAAAAAAGTTAAATGAACTAAGAGGATCTGGTATAAACCCCACAAGGAATTTCTATGAAGTTGAAAGCTAAGAATCTTGGCATGAACTCTGGTTTCAGTGCATGTTTATGCATGGCAGGCTGCCAGACCACGTTCTGAACATTAACTAAGCTGTTTCTCTAAATTTTATTGCTTACAGAGTTTCAGTTCAGGCTATCATGTTAAAACCTCTATGTATTTTATGCCTGGAGATGCTTTGAGACTGTGCAAGCCTAAGAAGCAAGGAATGAAATGTCATCATCTGTGTGTACACGTTGCTCAGACTTGCTGGGGATAAATAGTTACACATAACTATTCCTGCTGAGGATGGCTATCAACAGGTTAGATAGATATTAGACTTCTGACACAAACCACTGAAGGGACAATTTTGTCAGGTATTAATGTACATCACCTTTCTGAGCCTGCAAATCCCTCCTCACACCTGATCAGAAGTGCATGTTAGGTGACAAAACAAATACAGGATTAGGAACTGGGGGATTTGTATTGTTCCAGCTTTGCCACTGATTTTTGTCATTTGGGCTGGCTCTTCACACTTCTTCACTGCGTTTCCCCTTGTTGGCTCTTACCATTTTCTGACTTTTTTAGCCCCAAATTAGAAGTGTGGTAGTGAAACTTGATAGCAGGGAGTTGGAAAACGTGACCAGTACTGAGAAGGGTTGGAATACCAAGCAGGCAAAATTGGAAGACCTTGGGAACTCAGGTAATAGAAATGAAATGAAATTTAAAAGTACAAAGTGGAAGGTCATGGAATTGAGAGCT